GAAGAGGGAAGTGACGTCAACGACACAGCAAATGCAGATTGGATGTTGACAGAAGAAAACGAAATCAACACCCAATCTGCGTTCGCTGTGTCATTGACGTCACTTCCCTCTCCCTAGTTTCCTGGGAGTGCAAAAAGCGCAACATAGCCCCCCTGGTCTTCCTGGAGCGAGCGGCTGAGCTTCTACTTTGTGGCCAACTCAGTCACCAATCCGGTGAAGAAACGTGCACTTTTACTAACCTTGTGTGGCGTGGAGGCATTCGTGCTCTAGTTGCACCAAGAACACCAGGAGATGTCAGTTTTGAAGAACTGCTCTCAACCCCGAGAACACACTTTGATCCTCGACCGTGTGTACTCTACCGTCGCTACCAATTCCAGCGTCGAGATCAACAGCAAGGCGAGTCGATTAGCAGCTACGTCGCGGCACTAAAGAAACTTGCAGCCGACTGCAATTTTGGAATAGTGACAACAGTGACCATGACTGCCGTACCGACAACGGGTTCGTTGGGTCAAGCAGCCATGACGACGCCCGTACATACCACCAAACTGCCACTAGACGTCATGCTACGTGACAGGTTTGTTTGTGGTGTAAAGGACGAGTTCCTGCAGCAGAGCCTGTTTGCGGAAAGGGAGCTCACTTTCGAGAAGGCTTTCGAGCTCGCAACCAGAGTCGAAAGCGCTTCAAAACAGTAACAGAGTATCAAGCATAAGACTGACCTCCCCTAGTTCACAAGACATCGAAGGGAAAAGCTGAGACCTCCGAGTGATCGTCCACTCGACCTTGCTTTCAATGTGAAGGCCAGCACAGTCCTTCGACTTGCAGATTTCGCAACGAGGACTGCCGTTACTGTCACAAGCGTGGACACATCGAGAAAGTCTGCATCACGAAGAGAAAGCAAGGTAAAAGTGCAAGCCACAAAAGCAGTCACCACAACGTGGACTTCACGCCCACAGCAGTCAACCGGCAGCGAGAGGAACATGGAGATTTTTACCATGAGCTCAACAGGGCGACACCGCACGGTCCGTGTCCGAAATTTCTCGTGACATTGAAGACTGAAGGCAAACCACTAGAATTTGAAGTGGATTTCGGTGCCTCGTGTACCCCGATCAGCGAGAAGACGTACCGCAAGGTGTGGCCCCATAATAATAATAATAATAATAATAATAATAATGTTTTATTTGCTTAGGAGAGCCGCGGCACCGCAGAAAGGCAAAAAAAGCCCGTACCAAGGAGGCCCGCGGTGCCGTGTCTAGTGATGGTGATTATGTGATGTAATGTACAGATGAAAGTGATGGTGATTATATGATATGGTGTGTTAGGCCTAGCAGCAATGGTCTTCGCGGTGCTGCCATCGGCTGCTTACTTCTGGCAGGGCGGTCTCAAGCGCCTGGAGAGGGCTCTTCGCGTGCCATACTTGCATACGAGCCCGCCGAATTACCGGCAGCTGGCCCCATAACCCTCTTCAGCTGTGCGCCCGCCGAATTACCGGCTACTGGCCCCATAACCCTCCTCAGCTGTGCGCCTGGACTGGAGAAGGCCTGCAACTTCTCGGTTCAGCGCAAGTGTTCGTTCGCTTCAAGACCAAAGACTTCTTGCTGCCACTACTCGTCACGAACTGCATGGGTAGTAAATACTTCAATTAAAGAGTCTTTGTGTACACCGTTGGTTCCACTGTGACAGGGGCGGATCCAAGGGGGGGGGCCAACGGAGGCGGCCAACCCCCCCAAACAAGGTCAACCCCTATCTTTTTTCCCCTTCTCGGAGGGCAATTTGACATGGGTGGACCCCCGGCGCACAAAAAAGCTTGAAAGAATAGTATCCTTACAAATTTTCCTGCCTGCCCCCCTTCCAAAACGGAGTTCTAGATCCGCCCCTGCACTGTGATACATGCGAGGGCTGGTTTTTATTAGTTTATTTGTTTTTGCATTTTGCAAACTAACACACATATGTTCCCCAAAACAGCTGGCTGGAAGAGATGGTGAACTCCCAGAGTCGCGAACTCCCAGAGTTGCTTATGCCTGCTCATGTGCTCGTTCGACGCAACATACGAAACCAACTCCGCGATCGACGCCTGTAAGATATCTATCGGCGGTACTTTGTCATTCTAAAAAGGAGTTATACACCTGTTATGGTTCCCCGACCGCTTCTCTGTTTGAATTTGCAAACACAAAAGATATTTCTTCAGAATATGTGACGCACTCCTTAGCAAGAACCTTTAATTTATAATTCATTTTCAAAAAAAGATTGGATAGAGAAAGTTATGGGAATTTCAGCTTTTTCTTTCGAGCAGAAGTCACGATGTCGGAAACTTCCTTGCCACACATTCATTTAAAAAAAGAGAGAGGCCACTTAAAGGGGCCCTGCAATGACTTTTTGACTGGTTTTATTTTGCACCGAACCTGAGCGCATTGAACGTAGTAACTTAATAAAACTTTTCTTTTCTCAAATTTCGCATTATTTTAAAAGTTATAGGCGAATTAGAATTACAAAAACAAGCAAAAAAAAACCTCCTTCATGACGTAGTAGGTCCTGGCTTGAGTGGCCATGAACTAGAGGAGGGGTAGTGAGCTCATCGAGCGTTCACGGTTGCCGCACTCCGGGTCAACGGCTCGAGAGGGCGCCACTAAAGCATATGTTGGATAGGCTCTATGAAGCAGGCGGCCTGGGCGGCCTGGGCGGCTCGGCATTGCATTTGCTGGGCGATTAAAGACTATTTCGGCATAACACTTCATTCGCCACAAACGACAGCAAACACGGGGTAAAGATCAGTTTAGAACGGGAGCCACTTCGCACTGCTATGCCGCCAAATGGCCAAATCGCCAGCAGGGCCCGCGCCGAAGGCCTTCGGAACGGTCGGATCGTTGAGCCGATGTACGACGGCAGCGCCGCCGCGTACATCCGGGGCTTTTCTACGCTGGCCGTTCGTCGTAGCCTCATCCCACTAGTTATTTCTAGTATGCGCCGTTTTTTCCGCCGCTTGGTGGCGGGTATGTCGACGGGTCTTTTCTTGTTTCCGTACTTTATAAACTGCATTTGTTTCTTTTCTGATCTAAAATACTGAACAAAAACTTTTTATAAATAATTGAAACGAGTCGCGCCAGTTATGTTTTGTATTTAGACTATGAAAAAGCTTTTAGCGGCTCTGACCAGTAGTAAGCCCAGGACCAAAGACGTCACATTTTGCGCGCTTTCGGTACCGCGGGTCGCCCTCGTCGGTGGAGGTGGTTTCCGCGTCGTCCGGTTAAAATATGACGCACTGATATTTAGTTACTCTCTCCGGGCCCGCTGGCTTGCCCGGACTCCCAGAGACGTGAAAACCGCAAAAAAGGTAGACGCTTAAATATGATTGCAGGGCCCCTTTAATAAGAAAAGAAAAAAAAAAAAAAAACAATCACTGAGACTGGTTTTGCACGATATTGTACAAATAGTCGCCAGCGCCAGTGAAATCGTGACGGAGGCGTCGGTGGCCGCAAGCTCCACAGCAGCCAAAACATGTGCTGTGCCATGCAACACAACAGGGTGCACTTGCACAGCTAATACGACAGCACGTCCCACCCTGGTGATGGCAAAACAAAATTTTTGACTACAGTCTCCACAGATCTAACCAAAAAAGAATCGGACGCGGTGACGTACGCCGTGCTGACACGTCAAGCTTCAGACATATTTTTGAGTATTTTAAAGATTGTATATTTTAAAAGAGGCTCGAAGATACGATAATTCAGCAGGAAAAAAACTCCTAAACACTTCACATATGCTTTAAAAAATAAGTTAGAGTTATCAATCGACATGGAAGAGAACCAACATAACTACTTTGTGCGATTACTTGGCGCGTCGTCTGCTCGAATCGCACTCGCTATATCGCAGGAGAGTGCCTGTGAGGTGGTGCCACCAAGACATCTCGTTGCTAGAGGCTCTCTACTTGTCGCCAATAGCACTGATGCGAGAGTCTGGCCGACTGGACCAAATCTGTAACCCAAATCCAGACTGATTCAGTATAGAGCCACTAGGTAAGGTATCGGCACTCTATCCTGATTACCTTGTGGGCTATAAGGAGAGCAAGTGTTCTAAGTGGGTCTTTGGCACATTAGAACGCAGGAAGGGGCACGCCAACCAAAAGGCAACATAGAGAACGTGCTACGAGGAGGCAGGCAAACAGGCACCGTCATTGGTCGAGGTCAGGGGGAAACAAAAGCATGTGCGCGCATCTGGGGCGTAAACGAAAGTATGAGGTGCAGAAAGAGCAGACAAACTTGCACGCCGTACAGCCGGTGAAGGGTTAAAAATTCACTGTGCTTGTATTCACCTCAAGAACTGCAGTAAAAAAAAGTCGGGCTCCCCGCGGAAGGTTTTCTCCCTTCATAGGTTGAATTACGATATAATGTAGAAGTATTTAAAAATTAGAGTTGCATCATTCTATCAAGACATACACGTTCCTAATGACCAAAACATTGCTGCTTCCTCCGACTACCAAATGTAAGTACTTCGTGCAGTGCACGTGCGATCCGTAAAACTTCCTTTTTCTCTTGATGCACTAAAAAGTGAAGAAGCCAGTAGAAGCTGTGCCTATATGTACTAGTTGTCTTCCGCCAGGCTTTGACTACTCATGCAACAAAGAGAAGGCACAAGGATTGTGCTATGGACAGGCAGAATTGGCAAACAACTAAAAAATGTGATTTGATCTGCGATTTGCGACATGAAAAATGGCAATAGCATTTTTCTCTGTTGCAAACTGTTTTAAGGGTTCCGGAATCGGAAAAGCGTGTCCGGCGGTTTCAAAGAAAGCTTCAGACCACCAGCAACAATGATTTCAACCACCAAGAGATGGCTGAGGTGGCTCTAACTGGACCACAAGTAGAGAAGGTAAAGTAACTTTTTCAAAAAATGGAGAGATGTACGTCCCATTCTGCCGTGGCAACAATCCAAAATCACAAAATCTGCGCAGGCGTCGTCGTGGAATTGGGAGCAGCACTGCTTACCCATTATCCAGGTAGAGGGAGTTGGAAAATTTCACCAATTTATTACAGGTAAATCAACATCAAGAGTGATTTTCCAGTTATAGTTAGGCCCAGAAAGTTTGTAGCCTAATGACGAGTAGTTACGTGGGTTTATCCATTGACAACCCGCGCCCTCAGCCTGAGCACTGTGATGTCGGACGTGACTTGCAGCATAGCCAAGGCTGGAACACACGGTGCTGGACCAACAACGCTCCGTCAAACAGGGTAAAGAATAATAAATTAACTTGTGTATACAGACATAATGTGTAAAAAAACAAGCAGAGAGAACTAAAAAGCATAAATAGCCACCCATTAACACATAGGGCTAGATTGAATGCAGGTAACAATGTAAGAGTAGAGGTGTGCAAATATCAGTTTTTTCTTTTTACTTTAAATCAAATATGAATTTTTTGTTTTGTTTAATTTAGTGCCAATCAAATGAGATTTTTTTAAATATATTTTGCAATAAATCGAGCCTGGATAGTGTAATACACCGTGGCTGAAATTTGTTTTGCCAATAGTACCTTGGGGCCTTGAGGCTTCTAAGCGCATGCTATGTACAACCATAGTTAAACAACGGTGTGGTTGGCTTGTCTCACTGTTTTATTCCGTTTCTCTTTAAAGGCTGACATACAACCTCGGTTTTCTGCAGGGGAGATAACCCTCTTAGCACTCCCCTCTCCTAAGCTACGAGGGGGAGCCAAGTTGGGCAAGGTAAAGTGTGGAGAGGATATCAGAAGGAAGCGGGCCAAACAAGAAAGTGCAGAGTGTACGTCAGCCTTTAAGCGCAAGCGTGGTGGAAGCAACAAGTGTGAGCTCCGAGCTTTCGACATCCCAGCCAAGCTTGCGCTCGTGCAGTGAAAGCACTGTATAGGGCAACATGCTCATGCTTGTAGCTTCAGCTTTGCTCGCACATGAAGTAAAACCAACTATAGATTGATACATTCATATCAATCTACAATAGTAAAAAAAATTTTCCAAGATCATTGAGCTAATCAAGATGCGCTTCCATGTGAGTCGCTTCTCCGAGCACACCGGTACAAGGCAAAGAAGCTTGATGGACAAGCGCCAGTGCAAAGCCCGACGTGAGAGCACTGGTGAAGCTCGATGTGAGAAATAAGTGGAGTTCTGAAGACATTAATTATAATTTTCAAATATTCAACATTTGAAAATATAATCAACAGCCTTGAAAATATAATCCAGCAGCCCTGCAAATCCAGCAGCCTTACGAATTATTCCAAGTTCCAAATATTCGCACACCTCTACATAAGAGGGTAAAAATATACTAGTATAAGCGGCCAGAAATGCTATGCTGGCATATTTACAAAACAACCATCTTTGATGCACCCACACAAATTGGGAGCCCTAAATACACGTCTACAAATGCCATACATAAAAACACATGCCTGTGTTTGCCAGCTGCCTATCAGGAGTCTTGCTGAGAGTTTGAAGGCGTGGGTAGGTGCGCACTTTGTACGAGCAAAACACAGCGATCCTTACCATCACACTGGGAAGTCCGATCGCACACACATAAATGGGGATCAGCGTGCCACAACAAATTCGACGATCAATCTTGCAAATAGCGTAAGAGACGCGCAAAAAAATTTGCCCATTTCTCGAGTGCACCAATGGAGGCCCAGCTCAACTAAGATTAAGGTCTCTAAACCTCGTTCCTCCTCTTCACCGTATGACACACTTTGACCACTCGCCCAATAGGGAGTGTTGACACCGGATGTGGCATGGGGACGATGCGGGTTTGAGACGACACCTTCTCGGTTTGCAGCAGCCTCGCAAAAGCTTGTATACTGCAAAAAATACACCGGGAGGTGGATTAAAAAAAAAAAAAACCAAGCCAACTATTCAAACTTGCAAAGATATAACTTAGCAATTCCCCTCTTTAGAAAAGGCACTGTTAGAAGACATGGGACAGGGCAAATATGACAACAAACCAACGACCGGGCGGGCCCAGGAGTGAACGGGAGGCAAGAGGGGCCACGGAGAGCGTCCCCTCCTTTCCACGGCAGGCTACGATGCAAGAATCACGTCTTGGACAGGTGCGTTTGGCGTCCTACATCACCCACCACACGCCGAAAGTGGTCCCAAAGTGGCAGCAAATGGTGTCACAAAGGCTGGCGCGCGACGTCGTTGTGATCCTGGCAGTTGGTCACAGAAGTCGTGGCAAAAAGTATGAGCGAATGCGAGTCGCCATTGTCATGGCGTCCCAACTTCTGGCTGCCAAAGCATCCGTGCACTGTCAAGTTAGAGAGCATCCTACGGCTAAAACGGCGCCTGCCACATCCCCTTTCGCTGCCGTACTACTGCCAGGATCCTGGTGGGGGTCAATGCAACGCTCGTACGACGCTGCCGGGCCGAAGTCGAGGGACCACATTCGAGGACGCAGTATGCAAACCGGTCGGAGACGCTTTACGAACGCCGTAGTGAGGCACTCGGCCGCACCTAAAGGTTGTCGAAGAAGTCTTCTTCCTCGGCCCAGTTCCCTTCGCCCGCCGCTTTGTCCTCCTCCGCGTCGGGGTTAGACTCCTTGAGGGCACGGAACCGTGAGAAGAGCAGTTCCTTGGCGTAGCCATACAATCGCACGTCCAGGCCGTTGGCAGACGCGACGGCCTCTGCATCCCCACGGGGACCCCGCGGCCGCCCCTTCCAGCGGCTCCGTAGGAACCCCCGCTGCCGCACTGTCGTCCGCCGAAACCGGACGCCAAAGGTGGCCTCGAAGAGGCTCTGCGAGAGCCGGGGAAACTCGGCCAGGCCAAAGAAGGCCATGCGGCGCAGGTTGCGCTTGGCGCTGGCCAGCAAGACCGTGTCGCGGTCGCCGCTGGCCAGCGGCTCGTCCACGGAGCCGTTGCGGGTGCAGCCGTCAACGAGGCCGTGGTCAGCGAGCATGTGCGTCTGCCGGTTAAGGGCCGGGTTCGCCGGGCATGCCAGGAACTCGGCCCAGGAAACGTTGTCCGGCCGGCGGGCCTCGAAGCATGTGGGGGCGTCCGCTGGCGAGTCGTCGGAACAGGGGTGCGGCCGTGCCCCGTGCCAGCCCCGGTTCTGGTGGAAGCGGCGCCACTCGCTGCGGAACCGAGTCACGGGGTCCCGCAGCACCGTGATGTAGAAGTACCTGGAAAGGCGGCAACGTTCGGGTCATATTCGACAGGTGTGTCGCAGCATGACAAAACATGACGAGCTCGTTCTGCAAAGGCTCGATGCCAATCAAGGGACGGATCTCTGTAGTCGCTGTACACATAGAGTTATAACAATAATTTAGAGAGAAAGGTCCCTTGCATTTCAGTCGCTTCAAAACGGCGCGGCATAAAGTGGACATCGGTCGTCAAAGTGGGTGGTCCCAATGTGCCTATATCGCTGGCAATGCCTTAATAGTACACACAAAGCAGCAGCAAAACATCACCTGTGAGGTCTGTGCTTAACTTCTTTCTAACTTACCCGTAATATCCCGAGTCATCGCCCACCCCCCTACCGCCTGAAATTCGTTAAAAAAGTGGGGTGGGCCATGTCTCGGTGGGTGAGCACAAACACTTGAAAAAAAGCGGAAAAAACCGCCTATTTTTCTCTGCGTATCTAGCGCTGATGCACAAGAGGTACATCAAACTCAAAACTCGATTTAGTTTCATTGTTTTATAGAAAAAATGCTCACGAAAGAATATTTTACTATAGCGAAGTCCGTTGCTTGCATACGCGCTAGAAACACCGCCGATCTGCATATAGCGCGAACGTTTGTTCCGTGAAAGAATGTCACCATTATGTTCTCCTAGTTAGTAAAAAACAAAGAAAAGTCTACAAGCAAATAGAAAAACCGACCAGGCGCAACGAGCGAGCGAGCAAGCGAGCGAGCGGACCAAAGAAGCGACCAAGAGCAATGCTGGGAAAGCGGGAAAGCCGGCGGTCGCGTTGGCAAATACTTTGGCGTCGGGCCAAGTCGGGCGCCTTGTCAATTGCAAGTTCTTGCGCAACTTGTTTGGTGCGTACATAGTGCGTCCGTCCACGGCGGGCTATCAATGCACGGTTGGGACGCTCTGCAAACGTCTGTGTAGGACGTTCCAGCAAAGCTTTGTTTACGCTTTGGCTTTGCCTAAAATATTGCACAACCGCGGTCGCGACGGGCAGGAAGAAGGAGCGGGTTCGCGGTGACCTTCGGCGGAGACAGACTTTGACCTAACACTCCGCGGTTACGTTAACAAACTCTTATTTTGTTATCTCCACCGTTTTCTTTTCGCACGGATACACGACCACTTTGGGGTCGCTCACGGAGGAAATGCGTAAACAAAAAGAAGTGTCTTTCCCTCCTTCGTTTTACTTTGTCACGGACGTCCTCCAACTGTAAGGTCCGCGACCGCGTCATTCGGGTAGGATGAGTGTTCGCGGATCGCAGAGTCCGCGCTGGGGTATTTGAAGGGGTGGGCGATGACTCGGTGTTTTTTCGGAAATCAATATTGGCCCAAAAAATGGGGTGGGCGATGGCTCGGGGATGGGCGATGACTCGGGATATTACGGTACTTTGAAAGAAAAAAAACAATGGTTTGGCGCATTACATAAGAATAAATGGAAGTGACAAGCACTGCAATGTTTATATTTGCAATGACTTAACTAAACAACTCGATTGTCATGGAGATATTTACAATGTGTGTTTCTGCCACAAGCTGACAACAAAATAACAATTAGAAAAAACAAAAGGCAAGCAATTTTTAAATTCTTATAACTGTTTACACAAGAGAAAACACTGATGATACAAATCGTGCAGAAGCTTAATCAGTTTTAAGCGTGAAACTGAAAGAGTAAGGTTTCAAACTAGTCCACTGGAATCTTCAGCGAGAGCATATCGCGGTACCTTCAATTTCATTCCTTGGTCGCATATAGCAGGGTCAGCTTTTACGTATAATGAGATTGGTGAGATTAAGAGCTTTCTCGAACAAAAAACAAGGCTGCAAAATAACTGGTGCAGGTAAATGTTAAACATGATGACTTTACCCAAGCGTTGCTTAAAATCACAATGTTTAGTTTCCTCGGCTGCGCGAGCTTTATCCACGAATGTTGTCTTCTCGTGACTCCACAACTGGTCATGTTTTGGAGATAGCTTTTCACTCGTACACCCACGAGAGAGATCTCGCAGCCGCTGGTGCATTTGCCCTGAGCCTACTTTTAGTGATAAGTGGACCAGCGGCTGCACAGCAACAAAATTTGCAAGAGTGTGGGCTGTCGATTGCTTCCATCATGAAATAGTAGAAAGTCACAATTCAAGCTCGAGTTCGATCCCGTCTCTCGCAGGACACAATTTCTAACAGAAATTCCACTTTTTCTCCTGTTCCGCTTCGTGCGAATAGTGACTCGTAGCAGTAACAGACAAACCCCCGTCATCCGCTCTTGCTCCTTCCTTGACTGATGCAAGACAAAATTGCATTCTGGTGCACGCTTGATTCTCTCGGTGTGCTAAACGGAAGCACGCGTAAAGTGCCGGTGCCAAAACATACTCAGAAACTGCAGCAACTCATGGAGTGCCGGCCAAAAAGAACTCTCTCCACGCCGCGAGTGAACGCACGTGGGCACAAGTGAAGTGAAATGAACTCGCTATATGACGAACGAAGAACCCTCGACAAAGATATTGTTCGCAAACCACCGAAGTGAATGGCGTCTGTGGTAGAACTTTGTTGCACACGCGATTCCTCACCTTTCCATGCCTCGTCTTCTGCGTAGAGAGGCACCTTGCTCTTTTGTACCTCGCATCTGACGCGTGCGAAGGGACGATTTGAATCGACTTGCTCGCCATATAAAAGTATGATAAGCTCCACAATGGGCTGCAGAGGACGCCACAAGCCACCGAAGCCAGTTCAGTGCTGCGTGAGTATCACGTGACCCTCAAGAAGGCGCAGGAGAGCGTGGGGCGCATAGTCACGGGATGTGTTCACTATGCTGGATAGGCTGGTATAGCTCGTAGCAGTTGCTACGGTCCATTTTAAGTTTGAAACGGAGTTCACGCAGCATCGTTGAAGGAGACACAGAAAAGAGACACTCATTACCGCCCGCCCGCCCACTGGCTGCTCCGTGCTGGAGCGTGTTCTTCCACTTAACGCTTGTGTGGAGGGTTCCACCCAGCGGCGGTTGAGATGTCACGGACCAAAGATAACTGCCATTTTACCAAAAACAACACATTTCTTGCTAAAAAAAAATGAGATGTATGCTTTTTCTGCAATAAAAAAAAAAGTAGCCCGTGTGTGTGTGTGTGGGGGGGGGGGGGGGGGAGAAGGAAAAGGGGGGGGGGGGGAGGGGCTCTCCGCAAGCTAAAAGGTAGAGAGGGAAGTGAGGAAAAGTGGAAAGCGCCAAGTGTGGCCTTTAAATCGGCTCCCAGTCTCACCTCCGCTTAACGGGGCTCCCTTCGTCCTCGTCGAGCACCCGGTCGACGCAGCCGACGAGCTCGGTCCAGTCCGGGTGCACTCCGCACTTCCAGCCCAGCGTGTAGCGGCTGAAGAGCCACGAGCCCGCCCTGTGGGGCCGGCGGCAGCGGCACAGCTTCCTGCCCCTGCGGCAGACGCACGGCCGCGCTAGGTCCAGGTCTTCGATGAGCCGGCGCTCCAAGAAGTTGGCGCCGGCGTTCTGGATCTGCAGGAACACGATCACGTCCGAGCCGTCCATGTCGAAGACGCGTGCCGTGCTGCCGTTGGCGGGCCGGGCCTGGGGCGCTGTCCGGCGAGCGGAAGGCTGCAGGCGCACCCAGCGGTACGAGAGGCGCGTCGACGAGCCGCCGCCGAAGTAGCTCACCAGGATGAAGGCGAAGGCGGCCACAAACGCCACAACGGCCAGAGCAGTCCGACACAGGGTTGATGCGGGCAGCTTGGAGGCGAGGTGCATGCCAGTGTCTCGCGCGGGCTCTTCACTGCTGCATCCGACGGTCGCTCGGTTCACGAGCGCCGTCCCGAGGCCTGGCTGGCCTGGCTTCCAAGGCGCCTGTCAGACCGTCGCCTGCACTCAGCTTGCGATGCCATTGTTGCACGGGATCAGGCAGACTGTTGCTCTACGATTGGGCACAGTACCTCCGGAAGGCGTTGGCAGCGCGACGCACAGCAGTGGACAACATTACAGTGCATAGCACTAGTTATAACCACTGCGGTTATAACCTTGATTGCACAGCACATTCCATGAAACCTTAGAGTACCGCTGGTACCGCTGCGTACAGTCTACCTTAGAACTTGGAATACCTCTCATATCAACACTGCCTGACGGCCTGACTGCCTATCAATGATTAACGCATAGGAGGATGGAATGGTAACAGTGTAAACAGAGTCGGCTCTGCTCCGAGTGTAAACGGATAAACCATTTGAATCAGGTGGCGGCTCGTGCCATCTATCCAGCGTAGTTAATCTTGACAGTAATAAAAACATTAAGAAGTTCAGGCCTTTTAATTATAGTATTATGGTGGGATAAAATAGGACGTGTGACCATCAGGTGGGGAACAAGCGACATATTTAAAACAAAACTGAATATTATTCAACTGGACAAATGAATGCGGCTGAACCAATTAATTTAGACGATGTCTTGCGCCACCTGTACGGTGTACCTGTTTTCGCCTCAAGAACCGTAGTAAAAAAAGAGAAAAAGTCCGGCTCCTGGCGGAGCATTACTAATTTCCCCCTTCATGTAGGGTGACCAGACGTCCCGTTTTGGCCGGGACAGTCCCGTCTTTGAGGTCCACTTCTGCCGTCCCGTCTTTGTCCCGTTTTCGCAGGACTCGGGAGTACATAGTTTCGAAATCGGCACCAAGCGAGGAGAAGCAAACCGAAACTGAGCCTATTCGTTACAAGTTTATTTTACAAAAAATAGCCGTAGGTACTTTAAAATATTTACCCAGAGATTAAAATTTAGAACTGTTCTTTCCCTCAATTACATTTTCTCTCGCAAAAACGCGTGTGTGGAATTTTTTTTTTTTTTTATTGGATATAGCACGGACGCAGAATCATGTAGAATTTTATTAATTTTTTTCTCCCAATCTTAAATTTTAGTACGCCCCCCCCCCCCCCCCCCCCCCAAACTCTCCTTTCCCCCTCTCTCACCCTCTTCCCCCCTTTTCTGCTGGGATGTCCCGTTTCTACCTTGAGGAATATGGCCACCCTATTTTTATGTGGATACCGAAGATGCATGTAGGTGAATTTTAGGTTAGATATATGTTATCTTATGAAGAAGTACGCATTCTAAACGCCAAAAGCACCGCTTTTTCTTCCGGCAACTGAATCTCGCAAAATTACTTCGCGCCGCGTATATACAATGCAAAAAAAAACTTTTTTGTTTTTTGAGGTTAAAACGGGGTAATATTAACATGCAATCAACGCCACGTCCCAACTACTTCATGACCCTTTGCTTTAGTAAGGTCGTTTGAAGTACATCTCACTGACCCCTTTACTCTATTTTTTTTTTTTTAGCATGCATTCCTAGCCAGTCATACCAAATCAAGAAGTGGTCGATAACAAGCTACATTTTCTGGGAGTCCTCAATATTCTGCACATTCCTATCTTGCCCATTACCAAACAAACTTTTCTAACAAAGGGTCAAATCCGATTCCTTCCTCCTTTCTTTCAGTGGTACTCTAAAGAACATGCCAGTCTCACGCATAGCAAGGATTAGAGATGCCACAAACTTTTTGCCAAGGGGTCAAAAGGTTCGCAAAGTTTCAAAATGTCAAACTTATTACATAAAAAATTCAACGATTTTCGTAATCTTGAATTTTGGGTGCTGAGAAATTCTATTGTTTTTGTCTTCAGACTTTTCACGCTATGAAATTAAACATTTTCAATACTTATTACGTTAAGAAATTAGACAATTTTCGAGCTTTCGAATCTGCTGAGTTTAAAAGTTTTATGAACTTCGAACTTCTGAACAAGGGTTCGACGAAGTTTGAACGAAGTTGACTCCCATGGGTTCCGGGCAATAAATATAAATAACACAAAATGTCAATGTGTGAAGTGCAGTTGATATTGCACTCAGTTTTACCGTCAGCTGATCGTGCCACAAATGACGCGCTTGTAAAGCGCCGAATGATCGTTTTGGGTTGGCTTCGGCCTCTTACCTCACACCTTTTTCTTTCGACTTCCACATAGAGCCTCCCCCGTGCACAACTCTGTAGGTTGCCCCGAGGTAACCTGTAGGCCAACAGATCCCTGATCTGCAGGCATGAAATTCAACCGAGGCGCTTCGCTGGGAGCATCCTTCATAGCATTACCAACGTTCTGGGCCTCTTAATTCAAAACAACGGCAAGAATACACAAGCATTACAAAAACTACAAATAAGCGTAGATCAAACGCTCCGACTCGTCATTCATCGAATCTCCTCACGACATCATGGCCTCAAGGAGCAGGAGATGCTTCGGCTGGTCCAAGCCTTTGTGATTAGCCGACTTGTCTTCTCCACTCCCTACCTTCCCCTACAGCGAGCAGAGCTCGACAAAGTTAACGCCCTTATTAGAAAAACCTACAAGGCGGCCCTCAGCCTCTCGCCCTCTACCTCCACCGATAGACTCCTTAAATTAGGAGTCCATAACACGGCCGAGGAATTAGCCGAGGCCCATCTCACCGCACAATACGAACGGCTATCCACTACTCAGGCAGGCCGACACATCCTCACGTCGCTGCAGATTAACTTCCCATCCAACCCATCTCACAAATGCTCCCTACCCCTCCGCCAATCACTCCAGGTTTCTCCTATCCCACGAAACATGCACCCTCAATATCACGAACAGAGGCGCCTTAAGCGCGCCGAGGCCCTCCATAAGCGACTCGGCGGCCGAGAGGACGTGGCCTACGTCGACGCCGCTGAATACACCCGCCGAGAGGCGTTTGCCCTCTCGGCGGTTAACGATGCAGGCTCCCTTCTGACCTCCGCAACTCTTTACACTACACTTTCAGAAGAGGCAGAAGAGTTCGCCATTGCTCTGGCGATGACCAACACCTCCGCCACCACAATCGTTAGCGATTCCAAAACAGCTATCCGTAATTTCATGAAGGGGCGAGTTTCCCCCTAGACCCTACGCCTTCTCACCACACACCCTCCTCACCATTCTGTCCACCTAATCTGGACCCCTGCGCACTCCTCCCTTCCTGGCAACGAGGCCGCCCACACTTCCGCCCGAGGACTCACCGACCGGGCTGGGGACCCCGCACCTCCTGGGATGGAGTTTCGCACGGCCCGGGACCGATTGGTCACCTTCCACGAGATCACAAACCATTATCGACTAAGGCGGCGCATCTACCCTCCCCCACACCCTTCCCTGCCTCGAGCTCAAGCCACTACGTGGCGACAGCTCCAGACCAACTCATATCCCAATCCGGTCCTCTACTCCCATATACACCCAGGCCTCTTCACCCCCTCTTGTGCGCCATGCCATGGGAGGGCAGACCTAACCCATATCATTTGGAATTGCCCGAAGGACCTTTGGCCCGACGGGCCTGGCATTGCTACCCTGGGGCAGTGGGAGGCCACGCTGCTCAGCTCGGACCCGGTCCTTCAGGACAGGGTCACCCAACGGGCTGAGTGGGCCGCTGGGGTCCATGGACTCCTAGCCACCAGGCGGGGATAAGCTCCCTATCCTGCCCGCTCAACAATCACCCTAAGACAAATAAAGTTTTTCCTCCTCCTCCTCTTTGTAGACAGCCGAGCTGCTTGCAGCGACCAACGTTTGTAGATAAACGTTGGTAGCGACTGCACTCTCGCATTCCCACGTATCACTCCGAACAGAAAGACACTAGTTTCGGTTTGAAGTCGGTACCTTTTCTACAACATAGATGGCGGTGCAACATAGACGGTGCTAGAGTGCCTTCATACACACGCGCGCTTTTGCTTGAGTGGTGACATCTGAGCCATTTTTCCGCCCAATCGTTTTTTTATGCATTTTGAAGCGCGCGCAATCTGGTGTCACTCAGCTCGAGCGCGTAGCTTTGGCTAATGCATAGACGCCATTTTACCGCCCAAGTCACGCACCGAATGCGCCAGAGCGTCACACGCTGGCTCATTCAGGGCAACAATGGATGTCTTCACCCTCAGACAGACAGACATGTAGGCACCCTAGACGGTGCATTTGGCGAGTTCGTTTGGGTCCAGTTTTCTGTGCAACACTTTGTGAGTGCGATGCATTCTGGGAGAGAACTCGAACGGTGCCAGTGCGCATGCGTGTGAAACGAACTCGCTATTAGATTGCGAGGGGGTCTCGCACGTTTTGCGTTGCCCGGGTGAATAAGCAAAGATTTTGTTGACTTCAGAAGCCAGCCACCGCTTCTTCCTGCCAGTTATTTTGAGGAAATGTTTGTTTACTAGTAGTTTACAAATTTCAAAAAGGAATAAATTTAGAACTAATAAGAGACCAGCAATCACGGAGCACATTGGAACCAACAGGGTACACGGAGTCGATTTCACTGAAGTGTTTACTACACAGACGAGAGGTTCTCGATGTTCGCTCTCCTATTTTCAATTTGAAGAGACCTTCCTTTCTTAGTTTTATTTTGTCTGAATCATAATAAAAAAATACACCCTATTTTCTGTGGTAGATGTGGGATAAAGCATTGGATATTCTCTCCCTCATCATCCAGCTTTTTTTACGGGGGTAGAGAACAGCACACCACCACCCGAGCACTTCGGCATCTCAGCACCAAAGGTGTTTGTTAGCACGACTATGGTGTCGCAGTTTCAAGCTTTTCTAAAATATCCCACTTTCAATATCATTTCACCAAATAAAGACAATGAGTGAAACGGCTTTGCCGCATGTTGCCCAAACAGCGCATGAGGCGAGCTGACGAGCCGAGGGATCCAGGATTTGCGCGGTCCGTCCCAGTCTGTCCTACCTGTGACGTCGCAAACGATGATGATAGCTAGAGAAGCGCAACCTGTAGTGGGCACACACCACTAATAGGTTTCCGAGTTTGGCTTGCCCATTTACAGCTTGATGAGCTATTTTCCTTTCTCAGTTCCTTCCCTTCTGGATAAAATAAAAAGTGCATCCTGTTCCCCATGGTAGGTGTTGTACTGAGGTAAATCATTAAATATTCTATTGTTATCTTTAGAGCCCTGTGCAGATAATAGTTTGAGCATCTGCATCTGCAGACTGTATCCGATTTGAATCTGCAGACTTTTCTGTCTGCATCCGCAGACATAGCTATAGGGATGTCATAAACGGGTCGAGGTTTGACTTTTTCGAACTTGTGAAAAGTTAGACGAAGGTTTCAAGGTTTCACTCAGGTACGACTGCTATGCGCAAGCGCGACAGGCTGACCAGTTGGCTTCAGATTGGATGGTGATGGCTAAGGGATGAATTAAGGGCAGCACTGATTGGTTAGCTATTA